ACAAGTTTGTTTTGAAAATAGAACCACCAAATTTTTTATACAGTCTCTTTGCTTTTCTATAGTTTTGCCTGGCACATTTACAATCAGCCGTAAACCAAGGTTTATTAACTTTACAATTTTTGATTGCTTTGTTACAGTTTGTGTAAATTTGTTTTGTGCCAAATACTTCTTTAGCACTTTCTACAAATATTTCACCAACCCTATCTACAATATTATCAATAAACTCCAAATTAGTATCTTCAACTGCACAGTTTTTTATATTATTTTCAAGGATTTTAACTACATTCACCCTTTCTTCAACATATTTTTGGTAGTTCAACTTTTTATCAGTATCCCAGTTTTTAGCAACTACATAACAAAGGCCAGGAGATTGATCATCAGTTCTACACCCTGTACAATGTTCATTTCTAAACAATAATGAAACTTCAATAGGATTATGCACATCTGAAAAAAGTGTGCAAAATTGTAATATCTTGAAATCTGACACATATTTTATAAAATCAATATTGGCTATACAATAATCCACAACACTTGTTTGTTTACAAGTTAATTCCCCATCACTATCACCTCTTGATCTACCATTAAGTATAAACATATTACACTGTTTACAAACATCTAGGAGTCTTCTTCCATATTGATTAATAGCTAAATCTTTAGATTTTCTCTCAACAGCAAAGTTGTATTTTTCCAATTGGTTTACATCAACATACTCTTCAAGTAAAATATTTTCGCCAATAACAGGGGTCACAGTTTCTAAATATTCTAAAAAATCTTTTCCAGTTGACACTCTACTATTAAAATCACCAACTAAGCATATACATTTATTTTCAATTGCTATGTTTGATATTTCTCTTTCAAGTGCATCAAAAATTTCAACAGAGGAAAAGCGAGAATTTGAGGGTGGTATGTAAACAGTTCCTATTATCAAGTCATCTATGTTACCCATTTTTTTACTTGCAATTTTAATCCACAGTACATTGTCACATTCGTTTTTAATAACAGTAGCATATTTAGCTAGAGTATCTCGAATATATACTATAATGCCACCAGATTTCCGTATTGCTAATTTTGACCTATGTTTACTAAATACTGTAAAATTAGGAATATCGATAATGTCCGCTTCATCAGTATATATCAGTTGGACCTTGCACTGTCCACGCCGACATACCGATCGTGTAGTAAACACCAAGTTTGGATTGTTATGATAAATTATTAACGAAGCACCGACTTGTGTATTTCTACCGGTTATAACATAATTATCGTACGTATGAGTACAAGTTCATTTTCGTTTTCAAAAAAAAAAAGAAAAAAAAAGAGAAGAAATGGCGAATTAATATCTTAGCACTCTACAAGAGGATGCTTCTACCCAAGTTTTCTTGCACATAATTATCTGCCCTTGGGGGAAAATGCGTGTCTCTTTATTATAACTAACTAAAATTTCCTTAACTAATGAATAGTTGTTAAATTAAAAACTGGTTGAACGCCAATAATTACATGAATAAAGATTCAGGTAGCTTACATGTACAACATGTACAGTAATGGTCATAACTTTGCAAAAGCAAAAAATCTTTTATTGCACCATAAAACACGGTATACAACATTGCTGACAACAGATGATTGAACACACGCGTTTTTCTTAACACTAATAATAAAGAGCACGATCAATCCATAAAGCATTGAAAAATGAACATTTGAAAAACACAAAATAAAACTCAGAAGAAGGGTTAGTCTATTAGACCTTCAGAAATGAAAAGAAGACATGTTTGTGAAATACCTGTGGTCTAACCCTCAATAATTTGAATTTTTTCAAGTCCACGGGTCATACCTCTGTAAAAAATTAATCAATCATACCTTATACAGAAATTGACTTAGATATTTTTATGATAAATCTGTATACTAAATTTTAATTTATTAAGTGCAACCTCTGTAAAAAAATGGAAACTTGGTGGACCAAAACACAGACAGCAGCAAAGCAGGAAGGGGGAGAGGGAAAATGTTAATAAAAATGTTATTTCCAATGTTTACATGTTACATATCTATCCCCTAACACACTATGCATATTTACATATTAGACGCAATAATGTAGCCCTCTCCGATTTTTTTATCTGATGTTTTCTGGAGAGGGCTACAATTCCATCGCATCTCCGTAATGGTGCAAATATATTTTTTGATACGGGCGATTGAAGGCAAAATATAATATTTTTATACATTCAACTTACTTCTTATAAGACGGAACTTTTATTCATAGTCAACAACATAGCCTGTTAAACTCGAAAACCATGTAAAATAAATCTGCGTCTTTCCCATCCACAATATCAGCAGCCATGACAGTTCACGCGAGAGGTACCGAGACTTTTGTTTGAAGTTTAGAACATCTAAATAAAGCAAATGTCAATGTTTTCAAATGACTGTGCTGAAATATATCACAAACACATCCATAAATAAATCCATTGCAAGTGTTATTTTTGCGCAAGCAGCGATACGTATGCTTAAAATAAGGGAATTTCTAGTAGATCCGCTCCTATAGATTCTAAATTCTCATTGGCTGTCCCAAAATAAAATCTATCAGGGTCAGTAAACATGGCGGATAAATTCAAGTTGTGATGTTTACATACACGAAAAATAACCGATATATGAATTGTTGCGAATATTTTTGGATCGATTTAAGTTTTGCATAATTACATATTTGGAGCCCAAAGAGATGTTAATAAAATTATCCCGTACGAAATTTAAGTCACGTATTTTCAAAAAAATCCAGGCGTATTTTAATCTAAAAATCCTTGTGGAAATCTCTATTGAAATGAATATATAAAACCAGGCGTATAATGTAAAATACGGGCGTACACGAGGCGTAATCCTCCCGTATTTTTGGCCGAAATATGCAAATGAGTACGCCTGGAAATTTTATTAATAGAATTACGCCTAGATTTCAAGCATACCCTTAAAATATGCCTGCAAAATAAATACGCCCGTATTAAAGAATACGCCCATACAAAAAAAATACGCCTGTACAAAAATACGCCTGCTTTAAATAGATTTAAATTAAATATTAATTATATTACTGCAATGGGAGCTACAATTATAGCATGAATATAAATGTACAATCAACTTTAGTACAAAGATTTTTTACTACATATACTAAAAAAGATTAGACAAATTAAGCTTAGCATACATCACTTTTATTTTATTGTCATTAAAATTTAAAAAATCATAATCTTACATTTACTATTTCAAAGCACAGTTACATGTTAGAATTATATTACTCATTTCACAGCATTTTAACATCCAAGGCTGAGTTTTATAGTAAAACAGTTGAAAAATTCCAGTAATCACAGTGAATCACAGTTTTGAGAATCATGCCGAGTACTCCTGTCATTCTTTTTACTCCTAAATTGGCATAAAAGATGCAAATCACAAGCGATTCTGTCATTCACGTTTCACATCACATTCCCCAATCACATTTTCATAGATTGAAATATTCACAAAAAGAAGTTTGAATGTTTTATAACTGGCATTGCAAACAGTCATCTTCTTCCTGATGCAATCTTCCAATGGCTGCAGTTCACTGGCAATTGCAATAAAATATGGAAAGCTTAATGCTGCTGGTCAACTCTTAATATTGCAATATCTTTTCTCTTCCTCTTATGACCATTTCATCATTCAATCAATTTTCCAGCTGTGATAAGGATTTAGATGTAAATCATTTTCTGGAAAAAGAAAAACACTAGAAAATAATTTATGTAATTCAAAATACTACTGACCCAATTTTCAATCATTAACATCTGGCTCTGCAAATCAAAAGCAAATTCAGCTGTCTTTTATTTTCATAGATAAAAAGTTTCAATGTTAAGCTATGTTTTCAAAATAATTACCTCTTCTACACCATCTGTGCTTTGTTGTGGCTTTCTCTAATCTCATTGTTCTTGGCATGACCTGCCTCTTGGTTTAAAATTGGCGCAAATACTTGGATGCAGATGCTGTTGTTTACAACCCCCTAGTTAGCTAAACAGTTTTATGATTTCTGGAAGTTCTACTCAGTACAATTTGTAAATTGAAGAAAAAATGCTGTTTTGTTTACACAACATAAAAATAAAATTCCATCAATGTATAAACAAGGTGTATTTACTATATGAATTCACTTATTTTAAAGATAATTAGGGTGGTAAATAGAACTGCTGTACACAAACCGGATGTAAATTGATAAGCCGTTCTTAGAAAGGTTTACAACATCACAGATAAGTCGTTCCCAAACATGCTCAATACATCTGTAAGTAATTAGCACAATCCCAGCAGGTTAGGCTAGGGAAGTGAAAGTTGATGGTAATGTAATAGTATCTGAATATACCAAATACAAAGCATTTAATAAGAAAAACATTTAAATGATGTAATAACATGTATGTTTATAGCCTGACTAAACAAATCAAGAAGTTCAAAGAATATATACTATTTACTTTACAGTTACAGAAATCATTTGTGTTAAGAAAAATAATATCAATTTTTAAAAAAATGGGAATGACAAAATTTCAGGTCCATGGGAAAAAGTTAAAAAAAAATCAGTTTAATTTATGAAAAATAATTGCTTTGAATAATATTTCATATAGTTACAAACTAAGTGCAATATTGTAATGTATATAATCATGCAATATTTTGTTTTTTGTTTCAGTTATATAATATCATAAAAATGTTTCTTATGTAACTCAATACTTTTTAAAAAAGAGAATGAGTTGACTAAGTTTTTTTGGCTAAGTTGAAAAATCCACCAGAATTTTCAAAATTACGCCTTTTGAAATTTTCTAAGTTTTAAATTCCTTGTGCGAAAGAGACTAAGTAGAAAATACACCCGGATTTAGAAATTACGCCTGGAAAAAAGGAGACGTATTTCTGGCAAAAATACGTGTACGCCTGAAAATGAACCGTATTTTTAAGAATACGTCTCTTGTACGCCAGGATTTGCAAAAAATCCAGGCGTAATACGTCTCTGAATTTCGTACGGGATAGCCATTCACTGATAATTTGAGCCGAAATCCGTGCGGGAGTGATTCACTGCCGCATTGCACCATTACGGTGATCCTAAGGAGTTGTAACCCTCTCCCCCCCCTAAAAAATCGGAGAGAGCTACATTATTGCAGCTAATCTATACATATATGTAAGTCATATGTTTATGACCTGTCTTGAGACAGATTCAGCATACCAAAACATGTTATACAGTAAATATGTACATGTGACTTAGGTACTTTTTAAATGTTTTCCTTTAGTGAACAAAATCATATTGAAGACATAGTGTATTGGGTGGTTTAGATCCAACACTCCGACCTCAGATCAGGGAGACATAGACCATAAAATAGATCATCTACAGTGCAACTCATTCTGGCAGCATAAACACATTTTCTTTTATCTTTGGTCTATGAAAATATCTTTCAAGGGACTCAAGCTCTTTTATGTATTCCTTTATTGTTGCATTGGTTTCATTTGAAAATTGTGGTGACTTTTCATAGATTTTTGTCGCAAAATTCTGTAATTTTTCGTCATGTTCATCACTGTGTTCAGAATGATGGGTTACCATCCTTCCTAATCCATCACTTAGCGCATTCACCAGGGCTTGACAGTCACTGTCCTGAAAAATATGATAAATATATGATTACTCGAATACTGTACTTAGGGGCTAAATGTGAGGCTAAATAAAGGGATACCACACTACATATTTGTCACTTTAATATTTACAGCAAAACATAAAGAGGCAATGGGTCACATCATTTACCTTGTTTACCCCCCCCCCCTTCCTGGTCTTCAACAAATTTGTGCAGTTATTAAATAAATGAAAAACAATTTGAAGATGAACAAAACAAGGTGTTAAAATTCTGATATTCTGTAAAAACTTCTCAGAATCATTTTAATGCCAAAGGCCAAAGATTATGTCCGTTTTGTTGCTCCATATTTACTCCCGTGGACAGTATGAACTATTAAAGTATGAAATATACAATTAGTCACTTTCCCCTTAAACCTTATTCTCGCTTTATCTTATAAACCACTTGAAACATGAAAAGTAGTTCTTTCCCTTTCATCAATAATTTTGGTTTGTCAATAAAATACTGGTAACTACAGATGAGGGACAAAAATTGAAAAAATGTAGGGAAATATTATAGCAGTTCACTTGCCAAAATATTTCACCTGAAAATGCAAAGAAATTATGAAGTTACCTCAGAATCTTGTTTCGGAGGGTTTAAAAAGGTCTCTGAAATAATAAAAAAAATACATTCAAAATTATCCTTTAAACTGTTCATTAGATACCTAAAGCGTGGTACATAAATAAAATTAATCAAAACTTTCTTAGCAAATTCTTACATACTGGTAAAGATAATTCTAAATAATACTTGCACTAATAAATATACTACCATTACTAATATATAAATAGCATGAGTCCTGGTCTGCATTTATGACTTATTTTGAATATGCTGACATAAGTAAATGTGCAGTATAATCTGATTGCCATGATTAAAGCTTGCTTTACCTGGTGTTTCATCTTCTTCAACTGGTATGGTTTCTTTTACTTTCCATTCTAAAAAATATGATCATAAATATACTGACACGCAAAAGAAACGCAACACCCTACTTTAGGGGGAAATAATTCAGTAAAGAATTTTGTATCTTAAAATTAAGGATATCTTCAATCTGGTAAATATCGGTAATTTAACGGTTGAACGATTTTGGTACCATAACCGAAGGTCAAGTTTGAGTCTGCTTAACAGAAATAAAAAATTGAATGTTTAACAAAACATTTGGCAATATTATGGAGTTTTGAGGGTTTGTATAGTTCATCTTAAGTAATGCAGCAATATTTCAAAAAATAAAATCTACTTTCTTTTACCGTAACGATGCTAAGTCTTCTCGAAAATAGCTTAAGTATGCATTTCCATTGCTCTTACTGGAAAATCTCAATAAAGGTGATGGAGAGTTGATGATGCAAATATACGATGCATTACGCCTCAACGGGGTCTTATGTATCATATGCATAAATGATAGTCCTTGGACCAGAAGTCTAAGGGTTACTACAATGCGCTAAGTTAGAGAAAATTCACCTAATCATCTGAAAAACAGGCATTTAAAAATGGCAAAGAATAATTCCTTCGCTCAGATCTCGATATTGATTAAGCTATTGTATCGTTGAAATTAAGCTGCAATTGTTGTTTAGAGCAGTCTTGCACTTTGTAATTGGATGGCTGGGAGGGGGGTATTTTAACAGTCATATGTTACAAAGTAAAGTTCAAAGATAAACATTTATCATTTTTATCAAATCTCTGATGTTCTTAAAAGTGAGTTTAGCCTTACTGTATTATTTTTTGAAAATCATTAGAGAAAAAATTCAAATATTTGTAGATTACTGTTTGTTGTGTTTCTTTTGCGTGTCAGTATACATTAAAAGAACAAAAATAATATCAAGGAGGGTTTGTTCAATTTATTTCTACTTATTGTTATATGCTGTATTCTATTCAATGAAAAGAAGAAAAATAATCATGACAAATTATGCTAATACATGGACCCCTGAAAAACCAAACATTTTATACCCAGCCTATTAGACATCTAGTCAATAATAAATGATAACATTTTAAAATAAACATTGCTTTTACTTGCACCTGCATCAAAAGATGAACATATCAGACAATTATCAATCTAAGAAAAAAATCAAACAATACAAATCTGTGGATAGAGCATGTAACACCCCTTCCCCATGTGAATACATGTAGGGCATGTAATAAAGCCAACCTCACCCCTGTGAATAGGGCATTAGGGCATGTAACACAGCAGACTTAGGTTCTATAAATTTTATGGTAAAATTGAATATTTGTATTTTTTCTCTCTTTCTGAAACATTAATACAAAATCCGAATAGGTTCTGATGTCATAAAAATAAAAATTGTTAATAAGTTTAACCTACTTTGAAACTATAATATTTTTAGTTAATTTATATTTCTTATACTATATACAATAATTACAATTTAGCACATTTCAAGAAATTTTCAAAATATGACTTTTCTGGGGGCATAAGTATGCAATATGCAATGTTGAACTGCAACGAATGCATTTAAGAAAAATTTTATTTTTAAGTTAAATTTTTGTGCCTAAAACCTTCACATTTTAGTGAAAAGGGCAACAGGAACGACTAGTATAGGGGACTATGGTGAATCATAAGTACAAGATTTGTCAACATAGGGCTGAAAGTTGCTTTTGAATGAACTTGCTCAATAAACTATAAGCTGATCATTTAATTTTAAAAACCATCACAATAGCTCAGTCGGTAGAGCACTTGCCCCATGATTGGAAAGTCGAGGGTTTAAACCCACATCCTGACGGACCTAAGTCAACAAATATAGGTAGCAACAATCCCCTCACCAAGCCCTTGGCACTTTTAAGTAACAGTGAAAGTTCTTCAGATGAAAATACCTAGGGTTTGGCACAATAGAAATCACTCCTCAATGGCTCTTAAAATTTATCTGTAGAAATGATGTATTATCCATGCAAGTTTGGTATGCATAGATTTGGTTAGTTTTAGCAAGCCTATCTTAAAAATTGAAAAATGATCGATCAACCACACACTTAAGGATACCATTCATTAAAATTTGATCAAAATATGACTTATAGTTACTTGGAAATAAAACCCATTTCAAAAAGGTAAACAACCTTCTCATAACACTTGACCTCTGTCAGACTGGTACATATACAGTGAAACATATGAGATGCATAATTCATGTACCTCTGTTTACTGTTGGATAGAAATACTTGAAAAAAATTATTTGGTTCTTAGTATAAAAACAAAAATAACATGGGAACCAGACACAGGAGCTGAAGGGTTTTTCCCCACCCACCTTACCCTAACAGTTACCCCATTTCACTAAGGTGAGCAAAATGATTTTTATTTTTTGTTAGTCCTTTTCTGTGTACATACCAGTCTCAAGACTCATTCCAGATGGTGCAAAATGTTTATTTCCTGAAAAAAAAATCAAAGATATTAATAGATGGAAACTCTACATGATTCCTTCTAAACATGCCTTATTGATCAATGATCATCTGAGTGTTACTATTTGTTGGGTTTTTTTTTTATATCAGTCATGCTATTTTTTTTAAGATACATTGTAAAAATTTTAAAACAAGAAAGCCTGAATTACTCTTCATTCCAAAATGCAATGACACATTTCAAATAAATTTCCATAAAGAGAAAATATTTTTGTAGAAATCTGATCACTTGAAAAGTTTTTAGGAAGTCACAGTAACAAGAGGTCCATCGGCCACATTGCTCACCTGAGCACTTTGGCAAGTTCAGTTTTTATTAATGTTATTAAAACTTTCTTTAAGGGCAGGAGGCATGATTAAAACTAATTCAAATCTAAACTATGTTACCATGTTTCCTTGGCAAATAATGGCTTTATGAAAACAAGGTTTTTTACTTTTCTTTTAAGGCGTTGTCCTACCCCTGGAGGTCACGATCTGAACTTGAAATCTACACTACCTGAGTGATCATTGCTCTGCTGTTGTTGAAAAGATTTTTAATATATATATATATACAATCAACGCTTACTATCTATTCAAGATATATATTACTAAAGTCAGGGTTGCTTCATAAAATTGTTCTGACAAAAAATAGTTCCATTCAAGATAAGTAAATACAACTCTACAGCAAATTATTAGAATAATGATGTGTAGGTAATACGTTAAAGAAACCATACCGTATATACTCGCCTATAAGTCGGTTGTATTTAATAAACTTATATATCAGAGGGACTGACCTCATATAATACCATTCATTTTATAGCTCGCCTATAAATCGGACATAGAGTTTTGAACAAGAGATTAACTCCCAAATATCCGACTTATAGGCGAGTATATAGGGTAATTAATGTTTAAAGTTGTTTAAGAAAATCACTCTTCCTCCTGAAATACAAATAAAAAATATTTATATTCTAATAAATTCTTTATCTTCATTACCCTCTGAACCTCCTTCCTCTTCACTCTGCCTTAAAGGAAGATTTTCATTTTCAAACCTTTCACTTCCACTCCCATTTATTTGATGATGACCTTCAAAATAAAATTTGTACAAATTTAATAGACATTCTAAACCAAAAGTCTCTGATGAGACTGTAGCTCTACTGGTCTGTATGCCTAATAAAAAAGAAAAGTAGCACTTGAATTTTAAACTTTGTAACAGGCAGCAAAAAATAGAATTATGTATCTGAATGTAGTGTATTTGTGATCCATGTTATACTGAAATCAAACCAAACCTGTGGAAGGAGTAACATTTTGAAAGCATTCCTAAGGAAGAATGAGTGCACTTAATAAGTACATCATTTGGGCCCTTTTTGGCTACCCATTTTAATCTTTATGTTACAATATATTGCTAAATTAATTTAATGATTATTGTGCAAGCAAATATGCTTTTGATATTTATGTCTTGAATTCTTTGTCATAGACATACATATTTCTATAAAAAGGAGTTTTTTGAGGAGTTTCTACCCCTGAATGGGAATTGGTCACAAGAATGACTCAGTTGACCTTAATATTGAAACCAATTAGAAGAAGAAATTATTACTTGGTGCAAGACATTAGTCAGTAATATGAAGTGTAGTGACAGATTAATATGCCTATCATGACCATGTATAAATTTAAAACAGACATTATCAAATCATGAAAATTCGAAACAACTTATATAAAATCACCTTGCTCCTTTGGGTAATATTTTCTGTATAACAATGCAACAACAGCCACTACGCCAAGGAAAAGTACAATTCCAACTATGATTCCTATAACATCAGCATCAGAACCATTGTCTTCTTCATCATCTGAACCAGCTGGTGACCTAGATTGGCAAATCATTTAAATTTTTAAAAACAAAAGAGGTTTCTTTTTTAATATACATGGACATGATCTTATGAGGGACAGAGACCACATTCTTTAAGCATGTTATTAACATCCCTTATTTAGTAAACTTACTGAAACTTTGTCTTACTTGCAAACACATTAATAAGCTGTAGCTTACATTTTAAATACAGGGACTGTTTTCATCAAATCAGTTGAAACAGATGTTGAAAGCATTGATGTTGTTGGATTTTCTGTTGTTGGTTTCTTTGTAAGTTCATAACACTCAGGATCTGCAAAACAAACAATATTTCTTATTCAAAGACCTTTTTCTCTTTCAGCACAATTTAAGGTAGTTTGCAGTGCCTTCAAGGGGCTTGGACACTGGCTGTTTTGTTTACAGTGTTGAATTTTTATTCAAAAATAATTTCAGTTTAATAAATGGAACTTTCATAAAAGTTTCTTAAAAAGTCAATGACAAGGAAAATTTTGAAAACATGTCAGTGATGTCAAACATCTGTGTTTGTAAACAGTTCAAGAGCTCTGTTGTTGCTTACCCCCCCCCCCCCCCCCTTTCACACAGTGCTGCAACTCTATGGCGATCATCCCGATCAAGCCACGATGATCGATTATTTACATGTTCAAAATAAGCATGGTGAGAGCATAGATTTCTCCAATCATAAAGACCATACTGCGGTCATACTACGCTTGTGACCACTCTACGAGGTTTCTCTTGCAATTTCCCCCCAACACCAGAACCCCTGACCCTGGGACCATAAAATTCACAATGGTAAAAGCACTCTTGCTCATCATAACTATGCACTTAGTTAGTTTATTTAATACCTAGGAGCAGAGAAGAAGATTTTCAAAGAATTCATGTATTTTTACTATATAATCTATAGAGCCCCGCCCTAACACCAGAACCCCTGACCCTGGGACCATAAAATTCACAATTTTGGTAAAAGCACTCTTGCTCATTCTTAACTCTGCACTTAGTTAGTTTATTTAATACCTAGGAGCAGAGAAGAAGATTTTCAAAGAATTCATGTATTTTTACTATATAATCATTCTATAGAGCCCCGCCCTAACACCAGAACCCCTGACCCTGGGACCATAAAATTCACAATTTTGGTAAAAGCACTCTTGCTCATCTTAACTCGGCACTTAGTTAGTTTATTTAATACCTAGGAGCAGAGAAGAAGATTTTCAAAGAATTCATGTATTTTTACAATTTACATAATCTATAGAGCCCCCCCCCCCCCCACACCAGAACCCTTGACCCTTGGATTATAAAATTCACAATTTTGGTACAGGCACTCTTAATCATCATAACTATGCAATTAGTTAGTTTATTTAATACCTAGGAGCATAGAAGAAGATTTTCAAAGAATTCGTGTATTTTCACTATATAAACAATAGAGCCCCCCCCCTCCCCTAACACCAGAACTCTTGACCCTGGGACCATAAAATTCACAATTTTGGTAGAGGCACTCATGCTCATCATAACTATGCACTTAGTTTATTCGATATCTAGGAGCAGAGAAGAAGAACTTCAAAGAATTCATGTATTTTTACTATATAATCTATAGAGCCCCCCCCCCCCCAACACCAGAACCCTTTACCTTGGGGCCATAACATTCATTTTTTTTATAGAGG